TTTCATGGGTTGTGCACAAATATTTCTTCATTGGGACTACACAATGTAGAAAAAATAGGTTTTAAATAGAAAGAATGAGAACTCCAAACCATAAGGATTGGTCCAAATATGAATTTTGATTTGTCATAATAAAAGGGTCTAACAAGAGTTGACAGCCAATACATTTCATGGATTATACAGAAATCCTAGTTCATCTGGGCTACAATATAAGAGAAAAAGGTTTTGAATAGAAAGGATAAGAACACCAAGCCTAAAGATTGTCTAGGTATGATTTTTTTTTAATGACATGGATACATTTCCTGTATTGTGCAGAAAACATCCTTCAGTGGATCTACAATGTAACAGAAATATGTTTTAAATAAAAGTTATATTAGTTACAAAAATGTATCTATGTATACACTCCATAAAATATAAAAAATACTGAACTTTAATCATTAATACATCATTAATTGTATCAAATTAAAAAAAAAACAAGCAGTGTAAATACCTGAATGTGATATGGTATCAGAAACAGCACAAGAAGCAATCAGTCCATGTGGTGACAAGAAGTATGCTGATAGGAGAAGAAATTAGAATGACAGAGAGATGAGTTCACCACTGTATTGCATCTTCTTTAATTGACTAGTCTCAGGCTGGGGAAGCTCCAGAACAACCTGTGAACAGAGGAAGTGGGATAAATGATGTTGGCTTTAGATTGTGGACACTCAGTGACAGAAAACAAGTACTAAGGGAAAAATCTATGGATTGAAGGTGAATATTTCAGCAAAAGCTACTTTTGTTTTTTTAAATTCTTATAAATTCATGAAAGAGCATCAGGATTAAAATCATAAATTCATTCTGAAGATTGTATTAAATTACTAAAATTAATTTGTAATTATATAAAGTACAGTATATTATTATACAGGATTTATATAGTGGCAACAGTTTGGCAGTGCTTTACAAAATTAAGGCAGAATATTATGGCCCTGATGAAAGGGAACCTGTGCATAACCAACACGCATTGGTTGTCAATGCTTGATAGACAAATACAAATTTTAATCTGGATCTGTTAACCACTTGAGCTCCTGAGGATTTACCCCCCTTAATGACCAGGCCTCTTTTTGCTACTCGGCGCTGCACTAATTCAACTGATAATTGCGCGGTCATGCAATGCTGCACCCAAACGAAATTTACATCCTTTTTTTCACACAAATAGAGCATTCTTTTGGTGTAATTTGATCACCTGTGCGCTTTTTATTTTTCACGCTATAAACAAAAAAAGGCCAAAAATTTTGAAGAAAAACAATATTTTTCTACTTTCTGCTATAAAAAATATATAGTATATATAATGGTTATAAATTTTGGCCAAAATGTATTCTGCTCCATGTTTTGGGTAAAAAAAATCCCAATAAGTGTATATTGATTGCTTTGTGTGGAAGTTATAGCGTCTACAATCTATGGTATAAATACTGCAATTTACGCCATTTTTCTGCTATACAGCGCTAGTTTAACGGACAATTGCGCGGTCATGCAATACGGTACATAAATGAAATTTACATCCTTTTTTTCCCCACAAATTTAGCTTTATTTTGGTGGTATTTGATCGCCTGTGCGGTTTTTATTTTTTGCGCGATAAAAAAAAGGCTGACAATTTTGAGGAAAAAAAACAATATTTTGGTCTTTTTGCTATAAAACATGTCCAGTAAAAAAAATGCAAAAATCAAATTTAGTCATAAAATTTCTGCCAAAATGCATTCTGCGACATGTCTTTGCTAAAAAAAAAAAAAAAACCCCAATACGTGTAAATTAATTGGTTTACGTGAAAGTTATAGCATTTACAAATGGCGGGTAAGATACTGAGATTTTTAATTTTTATTTATACTAATAATGGCGCCGATCAGTGACATATAGCGGCAATCAGCGACATATGGCGGCGACCAGCGACTTATGGCGGGACTGCGGTGGACATTTTGACACTGGGGGGGGGAACTGACTTGGGGGCACTGACATCCCCAGTGACACCAATACAGTGATCAGTGAAAAAAAAAAAACACTGAAACTGTACTAATGTCACTGGGGAGGAAGGGGTTAACATTTTTGGAATTTGCTGTGTAAGGGGAGTGTTTTACTAGGGGGCGGGGGTGTGTACTGGACAGGGGGGAGCTGATCGAGGTCGAGAAACTCTTCTCTCCCTCTGCAGCTTGTCGGCGAACTGTCACAGAGCAGGCTGTGTGTAAACGATGCAGCCCTGCTCTGTGTCAGTGATTACCGCTCATCGCGGGAAACCGGCCGGTAAAAACCCGGCGGCAGAGACCCGCTGCTGACACCCGCGGGACAGGCAGGTGGGCGTTTATATGCGGTGGCTGGGCGGCATGTGGTTAATTCCTGTGGTTTGACACTGTCTAATCCTTGCACTTAATACAAGCGGATGCTTCTAGGGACCCTGCTGAGCTCAACTGAGCAGTAGAGAGTTGCCACACTATAGCAATCTTTTGATTTAGATGGAACCTCCACCAAGCTTGAAGTCAAGTGTTCTACCACCCTAATTCCGGAACAGGACAGGTAGCAGAGCTAGCACCTAACCAAATCTCAGAGTAATGGTTCTGCAATCAGTTTGAGATGTTATACCTCTGAGCATCTCTCAGATGAACTAAAAGTGTCCAACAAGTGTTTGAGAGTTTAAATAAAGACCTATGGTCAAACAACATAATAGAAAAAGGCAGATTGGGAAACTGTGAATGTGGCATAAGGCATGCAATATCTCAGACAGCGGAAAAAGGACACAGTAATGTGGAATCTGAGGCAGTAAATACAAGCAAAATAAAATTTATCAAGGATTACAGACAAACAAGAAGACACCAGGACCTGTACTCACCGAGAACCAGTGCTGACCCAGTGGAAGAAACCACACCATAGTGGGCAATATACAACAAGAACTGGATCAGATGGTTGTCAGGGACAATCGGAGAGAGACAGAAGCAACCATACAGCAAAGACAACAAAGACCAGGGACAGACAGTTGATAAGACAGGATCAGAAAACTTTCTAGCTCAGAAACAGGAGCTAAACTAAATGCAAGGCAGATCACACAGATGCAGACTGACATTCAACGTACCAACACTTGTTGCTAACAATTCATATACATCTCATAGAGTGTAAGCTCTAACGAGCAGGGCCCTCTGATTTCTCTTGTATCAAATTGTAACTGTAATGTCTGCATTAATTTTGTAAAGTGCTGTGCAAACTGTCGACACTATATAAATCTTGTATAATAGTAATAATAGTAATATTAATAATAACAGCTTAAACCCTTGGGCACTGCTGGAATGAGGGACAGGAGAGAGTGGGATGAGACAATTTGGAGACACAGACAGGTGAGGAGATAGGGAGTGAGGTGTCTGAGACACTGGTGAAGAGATACAGCCAGCAAAAGCAAAGTCAGAAGCTGTCTAGATGGAGGAATAGCAGAACAAGCATAGGAAACACACAAACAGACAGAGAAAGCAAGGTCATTTGCTATATGTAGCTCCCCCCTCTGCCCTGAGCAGGAGTGTTTATTTAAATTTTGAGCCTAAATGATAGTTCAGCTTTCTTGGGTCCCTCTTAAAGCGGAGCCCCACCCAAAAAGGGAATTTCCACTTTAAGAACTTCTTCCATGCTCCCCGTGAGGAACTGGTACCTGAGCTCACTTCCACTCCGACCGCCTAGGTGATAAGAAGTGGTAGTTGTCCTCCCCTATCACCCCTTGCAGTCTTCTGGAACAGGTGACAGGTCCAAGAAGACTATGGGACCATTCACAAGATGCAGCGCTACTCGCGTACGTGCAGTGGGCACCCGGGTGTGAAGCTGCAAGCTGTCACAGCTGGGTGCCCCCACTTAAGATGCCGGCGATGGGGAGAGAGGGTGACTGGTGAACCCTGCTGGTGTGAACACACTGCTGGATTGTAGGACAGGTGAGTGGCTGTTTTTTAAAAGTCAGCAGCTACAGTTTTTTTTAGAAACATATCTGGATAGTATCCTAGTTATGAGGCCTAGTATGCTGAGCAGGAGGATCAAAGCACCATGGAGGAGCTTCAATTTATTTGGGTACCTGAAAAGCTTGGTCTTCGACTGAAGTATGGTGGCCGCTCCCCAAGAAGTCAGTAACTGAACCAGCTAGTGCCTTACAGTTAGAATCTGACTTTACAGAAATACTGATTAGATTAATAATATAATATTAAAGGTCCCCTATCTGTAAAGGCTAAGTACCTCATATTCTTTGGGGATCAGGAGGTGCTACATATGGTTATATCTCACTCTATATGATTAGATATAACTTTAGCAGTTGAGTTACTAAGGACTGATGAACAAGGAGGAGGCATGGTTCAACTGAAATGATGTAGAGGTAGCTGAGATCATAAATGGTTTGTCATTTTGGTCTCTAGGAATCCCTTTGATGCTCAATTTTACAAGGTCACATCTAAATTTTACATCCCTGAATTCATCTGTTTGTGGGTTAAGTGCAGCATGGTGCAGCATCAATAATCACACTGGCCAGGAATCCAGAAAGCAGTGTTTTGAAGAACTTGCAAAACAGTACAACAGCTGGACAGGGAGATCACCCGTCCAGGAACTCTCAGTCAATGTAGCGGAGAGTCAGCAGTAGCAGGCCTGAGCTGAAGACAGCACTTGCCAAGGGAGGTGGAGTGCGGCTTGGCTGGTCCAACCCAAGGGGGTGCTAGTGGAGGTGAAGACATAGGTCCCACTCTTTCCCTACTCTGGAAACTCTCCCTAATGCAAGTACTGTCCCTGACAGGCAGGTACGCTCTCCTTAACCTATCCACTTTGCAAAATGCATGCCAAGCCCTGGGGGCAGGGATTTAAAAAGACTCTGCTTGACCCAAGCTGGCCATCAGGGTCACCTGGATGCAGTGTGGCCAACTGGAACACTGTTCCAGGGGACCGAGGAAACCATAGAGAAACCAAGTTTCTCTTGACTCCTTCCCAGCTGCAGTACCGCTCCAGTCGAGCGCCAACTGCAGTGGAGGAAACAGACTGCTCCTGCCTACATGTTCATGATGAAGCTGAAGGTCAATTGTGTTGAGTCATGTGAGATTCTGAGCTTGGGTACCTATATAACAAGTTAAAAGTGTTGGGTAAATACCAGGGGCGGACTGACAATTTGGAAACCTGGGCACTGCCCGAGGGTCCGGGGTCAGTAGGGGGCCCCATGAGATGCCCCTGGTACCTTTTTCATAGGCTTTTTTGAGTTTGGGCAAGGACAGAGGGGCCCCATGATCCCCTATTGCCCAGGGGCCCCATGAGTTGTCAGTCCGCCCCTGGTAAATACTGTGGATCTGCAACAAAGGAAGTGTTGTAACATAACAACATCTTTAAAGTTGAATTCCATCCTTAACTTCAGTCTTGCACGGTTGTACAGGCTTCTCTCCCGCACTGAAATTGCTTACTCTCACGAAAGGGGGCTATGTTACAGTATTTTTTTACTGTTTATTCAGAATATGTAAATACTTTGATGTGCAAAATCTGGACACAGGTTCACTTTAAGGAGGAAAATCAGTAAAGTATGTGTTATCCTTTCGGCCGACTGTTATTGATTAAAGCTCATGTCAGGGGTAAGTGCATTCTTGTCTATTGCAAGCATGCATATCAGTCCGCTAATCCGTAGTTTTTTTAGCAGTCAAATCACGAACTCTCTGGTTTCTATTTAATGTCTATGGCTGACTTCAGTCTGTTTTCATGGAAATGCACTCAAAGGGATTCTATTAAAATGGCACAAATGATCAAATTATAAATAAATCAAATTACCCTAAACGTAAATGTTGGTACATAAGTGCCTTTGGATATCTTACAGTATAACTAAAGGCAAACTTTTTATTTTAAGATTTGGAGAGAGTGGTGATAGGTTATAACCCCAGTCAGTTTTTTTTATATATATATATCAAAGAAGGTTTTATTGAGAACAAACAAACATTGGTGCAGCAGTCTAGTGCTAGCAAGCACCCAAAAAGAAAAATACAGCTCCTAGTCATGTACAAAAGTAAGGTATTCAGGCAATAGGTAGTACAACATTTATGTGTCGCAGATACAAAGAAACCATAGAAACAGATAAAGAATAAAGATAATACACATCAGCCCAAGGGGTCCTGTAAGGGCTACATCTGGGCCAGTACCAGAGGGCCAAGTCCAGAGGTATCCAGCCAGGGGACCCATAACCTCTTAAATTTACCAGGACAGCCTCTATGTTGATATACCTATTTTTCCAAAATGCAGAGGATCGCCAAGAGAGAAGATCCATTCCTGCAGGGAGGGAGATGTTACAGATTTCCAATAAATCCAAAGCAATTTACGTGCAACAAACAGGGCTCTGGAGATAGCCTCCTGGCTACATCCCCCAAAATATTCAACAAGCAACACTTGGGGTCTAAAGGTATAGTAACCTGGAATACAGAGTTAACAGTGTCAACCACCCCCTTCCAAAAGAGTTGATGTTTGGGGCATCACCAAAGTAAGTGAATAATATCACCATGATCTTGCTGACATTTAATGCAACAGGCGTCTGACTGGATGCCCATGTAAAGGCAGTGGTGTATAATGTACTCTAAGTAAAATACACAATTGAGACAGTTTTTGAGACACATTGAGAGAGCAGGTGGTAACTGCAGCCCTATCAGGTTTTTATTATTTTTTGTGTCCATGTTTGGGAGATCACCTCTTTCTAATTGTCCTGATCATGAATGTCACTGGGAATGTAAATGATGGAAAATCTGAAATTTTGAATTGCCGCCAGAACAGAAATATAGGAGACATTTTCCAATGGGTACACATGCTCCTGTGACAGCTGTTTAAGATGAGCTATTCCCCACATTGAAAAGTCATCCTCTCACTTCCTGTTGGGACTACAGGAAGTGAAGGGAAATCTATCTAATAAAACAGAACTGACAGTGGATTATATCCACTTCTTACTCTGTCCAAACTGAAAAAAAAAAAAGTTTGGGTTTTAAATATATTGTACTTTGAGTTAGCTGTTAGAATTTTTGTTTGGATGCGCATTATATACAGTTGTGTTCAAAATAATAGCAGTCAGACATCACTAACCTGATCAATCACTGTTTTTGGTAGAAATTATATTTCTACATGGCAAATAATTTACTAGCAGGTGTAGTAGAGTAATAGAAATCCAACAGACCCAACAGTCATGACATGCATGCTGCTGATTCTGTGTAATTGAATCACTAATTGAAAGGGGCATGTTCATAATAATAGCAGTGTGGAGTTCTATTAGTGAGGTCATTCATTCTTTGAAAAACAGGTGGCAATTATTGCCCTTATTTAAGGAAGAAAGGCAGCAAATGTTGTACATGCTGGTTACAGTGCATTTCTCTCTGAAATTCTGAGGAAAATGGGTCGTTCCAGACATTGTTCAGAAGAACAGTGTACCTTGATTAAAAAGTTGATTGGAGAGGGGAAAACATATAAAGAAGTGCAGAAAATGATAGGCTGCTCAGCTAAAATGATCGCAAATGCTTTAAAATGGCAACCAAAACCTGAAAGACATGGAAGAAAGCAAAAAACTACCATTCGAATGGATAGAAGAATAGCCAAAATGGCAAGGACTCAGCCAACAATCAGCTCCAGGAAGATCAAAGAAGGTCTAAAGTTACCTGTGAGTACTGTTACAATTAGAAGACGCCTATGTGAAGCCAAGCTATCTGCAAGAAGCCCCCGCAAAGTCCCACTGTTGAAAAAAAGACGTGCTGAAGCGGTTACAATTTGCCAAAGAGCACATTGACTGATGGACTGATGAAAGTAAGATTGTTCTTTTTGGGTCTAGTGGCCAGAGACAGTTTGTCAGACGACCCCCAAACACTGAATTCAAGCCACAGTACAATGTGAAGACAGTGAAGCATGGTTGTGCAAGCATCATGATATGGGGATGTTTCTCATACTACGGTGTTGAGCCTATTTATCGCATACCAGGGATCATGGATCAGTTTGAATACATCAGAATACTTGAAGAGGTCATGCTGCCTTATGCTGAAGAGGAAATGCCCTTGAAATGGGTGTTCCAACAAGACAATGACCCCAAACACACCAGTAAACGTGCAACATCTTGGTTCCAGACCAACAAGATTGACGTTATGGAGTGGCCAGCCCAATCCCCGGATCTTAATCCAATTGAAAACTTGTGGGGTGACATCAAAAATGCAGTTTCTGAGGCAAAACCAAGAAATAGAGAAGAACTGTGGAATGTAGTCCAATCATCCTGGGCTGGAATACCTGTTCACAGGTGCCAGAAGTTGGTTGACTCCATGCAACACAGATGTACAGCAGTTCTCAGAAACAGTGCTTATACAACTAAATATTCATTAAGTGATTCAAATGAAAGCAAAATCTTCAAACATTTTTCAGTTTATATAGTGAATGTTTGAGTTTGTAAAGAAGAATACAAACACTGCTATTTTTTTGAAAAGTCTAATATTCACTTTTCTTCAATTTATTTAGAGGAACAACACAAATTTGATATATTTTTCTTCATGTTTTGATTTGGAATAGAATGTGTAGTGTTCCCAATGCATTTGTGTGTATGGAAATAAAAGCTATTAGAAGGATTTTGAGTTTTTATTTGCTTTTTGTGTCATTATTGTTATTGGAGCTTACTAACTTAGATGAGGTAGCTGCATTAGTTTTCTCTTTTAATGCGTTTTTCCTATTTTTCACCTGGTGATCTTGCTTGTAAGTTTGTTGTTTCAACTTCCTTTAACAAACCAAGCTGCCCAGCAAAAGTGGCAGTTATAAAGGTTGAGACAAACTATTTAACACTGACAAGGGTGCTTGCAATGGTCAGATTTTATTTGTCTTTGTAAAACCTTTATCCAAAACTAAAGAAAAAAGCTTTGATGTTTTATGCACATGAACCCTTCCCTGATGCCTGATGGTGGCAGGCAGGGTTTTCACAAACAGAAGCGACCCTAGTGGTCTCTTCTATCATAATTGTTTCTCCTTGCCTGTCACAGTAATGTACACTAAGCAATGCACTGAGCATGTGCAACTCAAAGCCTTCAGGGCCCTGGTGCAAGAACCATTACAGGTCCCCCAACACCCACCACTTTCCATCAGTCCCGGGGCCCTTTCCATTTGTATAAGGGTCTTTGCCTCTGGTCCCAGACCCTTCCCTCCGGGCCTTGGTCCCTTTATTCTTGTCGCAAGGCCCTTTATTACTGTCCCACAGTGGGACCCTTTCACATCTTCTGCAGCGGGCCCCCTTCCTGGCATCTTTGTGCCCCCCACAGTGGCAGAAAGCAAGATATATGTCACCAGCCCACCAGGGAACTCCAAATAAGGGTTCAACACAGTGGCAGAACAACCAGAGTCACAAAGGTCACACTTGCGAACAGGCCCTTTTGTTCTGCCACCATGGGGGTTCCCAGCCTTCCCTTGCTGTCCTGCCCCTGCCATTGACAGTGTCAGTCCAGCATTCTTTTCTCCATGGCAGCAGAGACAGCACTTTAGGACCCAGAGCTGGTTACATTATGGGGCTGATGGGCACAGGCGCAGAGGGCCAGCACTTTTGGTTGTAGACAGCCGAGCCCCCACCAGTCACCTAGCAGCAGTGAAACTGCATAGCCCTCTCTGCTGGATGCAATCTGGGCGATGCTCCTGATCAGATCGAATATTAAATACAATAGAGGTTTAATTGACCAGAGCCCCCACCTTACTGGTATGGAACCCACATGGCTGCTGAATATATTGTTGATATATATGTGATTGTACTCTTGACTCTAATAAATACTGTGTTTATGTCCACAGTATTTACAGTATTAGACTCAAGAGTACAATCACATATAATGTATATCATTGAGATTCTAGGCTACAATGAAGCTGGCCATACAAGTGAATTTTGGATCGTTCTTGATGAAGCTGTTGGAGTTAAAACCTTAGTTGGCCTATTGAGGCCCTCCCACTCGCCAGGCAGACAAATGTTAGTTGAACAGTGGCTGCATCCAATCAGATTCAGTCGTTTTTCCAGTATTCCAAGAGCCTTGATCCATACTGTTAGCATGGATGGAGCAGATGTCTCTTGCTCAGCCCTGCTGTGTATATTACAGTGTA